ATATTTTGCTGACGCCAAAGCATCCTGGCGTGCTCTGGAGTTTGGCACAGTGACTGTCTCGAACAGCTGCTTTTTTTTGTGGTGCAAACTTTTTGAATACATTACTGTTAAAACCAGCATCATTCAACAACTTTTCTGCTTTTGCATTCTTCTTTTCATTCTCAACCAACGCTATAGCATCTGGATCAGCCATCAAGTCAATGGTACCATCTTCCAGTAGTATCAACTTGTGTGCAAGAACTTTACTATCAGATAAGCACTGTCTAGTAAACAGTGCAATTCCAATTTTCACCCAGACTGCTTTGGAATTAGCAACCGTAAATGCTTTGTCGTATGCGGCCTCCAAAACAACTTGTTCATCTGATGTGGTGTGATTTCCAACAACAAGCAAGGGGAAGTCATTTTGTCTTACGTTGTTGTTTCGTTCCCTCCGGTAACGAACCAGGGTCTCCAAATTACGATGATACATTGACTTGAACGGTCCATAATTCTGATCTGTGGGCTGGGTAACATGCGTAGTATTGGGAACACCCGCATGTAAATAGAACCCTCTGGCTTTGAGCTTTGCCAATAAGCTGAGGTCCTTTTGCCCTGGCCCACTGTTTACGAGGATGAGAACTCTTTTGCAAGGCAGATCGGTGGCGTCTGGAAAAAGCTTTACAATCAAATCCATCATGAACAGATGAAATTCCTTGTTTGCAGCCATACCAGCTGTGGCATTACAGTTAACTGTGATTCCATTTGCTGTCAATTTATTATTACCGTAGACACCTTCAATGTAGGGAATGCCTTCAACAAAAGCATCTTGAATCTTTTTGTCCTCGTCTTCGGCCTTGGTTTTAAGTTGAAAATGAGGCAGGAGGGGAGAACCAGCAGCGGTACTTCCTACAATAAAAGTAGACACTACTCTTGTTCGTTGTGTCTCCTGTGCCTGATGCGATTGCAGGATTTGAAGAGCGGTATCTTGTAGAGGAATGACCACCAGTCGAAGAATGATTGCCATCAAGCATCAAACCACTTTCGTCTAAATTTAGAATCCGATTTAGTTGACCCTCAAAAAACACAAGCTCTCCTTGAACCTCACCGTCATCTTTCATCTTTTCTCTCGCCCATCCTCCAGATATCAACCTACTCTTCAGTGTGTTGAACCATAAGTTGACATTATTATAGGTAGTCCACTTTGCTCTTCTATCTTCAAGTTTAGATGAACCAGTAACAATTTTGACGTGTGGTGAGAACAAAGTCGACAAAGGATCGTAAAGTCTTTCAAAAAATTTTAGTACAGTTGGTCCACCATTAAGATAGGAAGCTAACATGTCTGTCACTGTCTTTTGATTAGGTTGTTCTGTCATCTCTTCACAACTGAGGTTTATGTATGAGGAAATGACATCAACTAGTGCCGCCTCCACCACTGCAGGCAAAGTTGAGTGATGTCCAGAATTCCACCGTGGGGGAATATTTTCCAGACCCTCATTCAAACGATGCCAAATGGTTTGTGGACAGAGTTCAATGTTGTACAGCTTGTTAACCTGGGCAACCATAGCAACAACATTGGTCACATTACCAAGTGCACGTTCATGTTTGATTTTTTTGCAACTGAAAGGTACGCAATGTCTTTTACCTTGTTTTTGTTGTACTTCTCAACCTTCTTTGCATGCAAATACTGTGCACTCCGAGGAGGCTTCCGCTTCTTCTTTGCAGGACTGTTGGTGTGAACAGAACCATCGCCAGCAGTACTGGTTGCGTCCGTCATCTGGTATTTTGTGTTGTCACTGTCTTTGTCACTGTCTTTGTCACCGTCTTTGCTATTAGTGCTGGTATTGTTAGTGGTGCTGGAGGTATCAGCAGGAGCAGGAGTGGAGGCCTGATAGGTCTGGTGGTAAAATATATTCAATGGTTGATAAGGGGACACCAGCAACTGCTTTTTCTAGCTCCAGCTTATCCCTGAACCTCATAACTCTTCTGCGAAGAGCTTTGTTGTTGCATTCCGCTTCAGTGAACTTGGAAAATTCCATTGCCCTCTTGGTATAGCAATCCTCACCTTCTTCCTTAGCCATAACCAAGGCCCTTGCCGCGATTCGTGTACGTTTACATGCGGCAACAGCGTGTCCATTTGGTACGGCGCCAACAGGAATAGTTCCTGTTGTTGTTGCTGTTGGTGTTGTTATTTGTGTTTGCAGAACTTCTTGTTGCAGCTGCTGCTTGTTGTTGTTTCCATCCTTTCTGCCAGCACCAATCAACCCCATCCTCTCAATGATCCTCGACGTTGATTTGTTTGGTGCTGGTGCGGATTCCTCTAGCATTCCTTCCCCTGCAGGCACTGGCTTGCTGCTGCTGCTGTTGTTGTTGTTGTTGTTGTTGTTATTGCTCATGGTGCAAAATACAGCAAAAACTGCTTTTTCTTTCAAAATACTAGGTCTTTCGCGATAAGGATGTCCGACACACTGGTTGTCTCTGTTATGGAGGGGAAGATGGTTTCTTTTTTGTTACACTTGCAGCTTCTTTTCTTCAATTTTTCGTCAATTTCGCTACTGCTATTTACAGCCCTGTTAATCCAAAACCACTCAGTCAATCGATCCGCTACTTCCGGACCCCCCTGTCCTTGTTATAATGAAGTCATTCCGGTGGGTGTGTTGCTGGGAGGTGTTGTTGATAGCTATATCTGGAGGGTGTGTCAGGTCCCTATTGTGGAGGTTGATTAAATGAGTTTTTTTGTATGTTCGGTGCGCAGAGAAATCAACAAGCCCAAAAAGGTTTTCTCAAAGAAACCCCCACCAATGTGCACATCTATGTGAAGAGGAAGGAACGGATTCTCTAATTCTGATTGGTGTTTTGCTAACAATAAGGAGCAAGCAAAGATGGGGGCTCACTGCTGAAAACTGGTGCGTTATATTGTACTCATAACCTATTTCACTTTTCGGCAACACATTTGCCTTCCTACCTCATACTTCCTCCGTTGCCAAGTAAATGTTCACATGCCCATTTTTTTGTCACTCTCATAAAAAATAAAAATGTCCCAAAGTTAATTAACACCTATGAATACAGTAGTTTTATTTAACCCCCGATTAAATATGACGTGTAGAACGCTTAGAATCAGTACTACAAACTGGAAATGTGGTAAAATTTCTTTTTCACACATAAAATTACGCATACTATTGGGTCATTCCTGATAATAGATGTCGTAAACCGGTAAATGTAGCACATTTGTTACATACTAAAGTACTTGTTTATTGCATTGGGAATTGCCTTTTAAGAAATTGTTTTGACTTCACCTGTTGGGCACTGCAAAAGAAGTAATCTTTTTACTACTCCATATTCTTGTTGTTAGCTCCTACTACTACTAATATCCAAACACAAGCTGATGCATTTTTGAACTCTAGTACTAGTATGCACAAGAAATGACTGCACTTACTGCTAATAGGGGTACATCATCAGGAGTCACGCGACTGCTAACTCTGCTAACATTTTCTATTAATGGTAAAACTACTAGTGGCATTACTGCTAGTAGTAGTAGTACCGGAGTTAAGATGTGAAACCATCAGCCCCCAAATCTTTTTGAATAGTAGTATGGTCACGGTTAGCTGTTGCATTGGAATGATAACAAATATAAGACCCAMTCTCTCCACCAGCACTAAAAGCTTAGAAATAACAAGTGTAAATCCAAAAAAGCTTTTACTTTCCCTGGAACTGGAAGAGGCAATTTTTGGCTTGGCTTCACGAATTTCCCGTGCACAATATCCATTACTGGCAATTACGGCATCGCAATGAAAACWACTTTCAAAATATCGCATTATCACGTTGTCGCGTAACTTCAGTAGCATAGTTCTAGTGYCCCATGGTAAAATTGTGCATTAATAGTGACGTATATTGTCCTTCGGTGTCCCATCACATCACATCACATCACATCCCGGCGAATTTCCACTACAGACCGAAAACGCTTGCGCCCATGGAAACCAAAGCAAAAAGAAGAGCAAGGGACGAACCCGTGGCAGCGGCGCGGCTCGCATCTAGGCCATCGATCTCGCCGTCAAAGCCGTCTTGGTCAAAGGATTCGTCGCCGCCCACAATGTCGAGGTCTTCGACATCGGTCTCGTTGTTCTCCTTGARCCCGATGGGCACGGTGTCGCACACCCAGGGACCCGAAATGTTGCACTTGCAAATGATGTTCAGGTAGAAACACGAGGTGTATCCACCCGTGGGAGAGCAATCGTCGGTCGCGGCGGGCATGTTCGCGGGGCAGGGCCCGTTTCGCGGAGGGGCCAGGTTACCGGAGGAACCTCCCGGCTGGGCGAGGGACGTTGCCACCATGATGGCGGCCAAGAGGAGGACGAGGATTGATCTGGATGTGCTGCTGCGGATGGAGATCATTGTAGAGGCTGTGGAGCGATAGTTGGTAGAGGGGGAGAGTTGGTGTTGGAAGTGTTCAAGTGTCGGCTGTTATTTTTTTGTGAGTTTATTTGTTGGATATCATCGCTTTTGAGAAAGGATTCTTTTTCGGATTCTGTGTTCAACGCCGTAGTACTGATACGTACGGTACGTACGTATGGTACTGGTTATCGTGATTTCTTCTTCGAATACTGCTTAGACGAATCGTGTGAAGTCTGCACTTGCGCGGTGGTCGGTAGTACACTTTCAAACCAGTATGGTATGTTTCTATGGTACGAACCTTGTAGGGTATGTATTGAACGATGAAGAGATATGTATTGAACGATGAAGAGATGACCCAAGATTCAATACCGGTACAATCGCTCCTGACAACGCCAACCCTGTTTTTGTTCCCATTGAACGACAATGGGCAGTACCGGTACGGGTATTGTACTTCAAGGAAGTTTGCTTCCCGACAAGCGAACTCCCAGAACACCGTCGTGGTGTTGCTTCGATTTTGGAAAAGAACGACAGACCGACATTCCTTGAATGCTTTTCCCACAATGTCGGAACACGACACCAACGAGATCGAGAACAACGAGATCCAGGAACAGTACCGCATGATGGCCCAGATGGAAGCCGCCATGCGCGTGAAGGACAACACCGGGTTCGACAGCGTGGAGTACAAGCGCCAGCGCCGGTTGTTGGAGGAGCAGCGAGCGCAGGAAGAGAAGGAAGCAACCATGCCGTGGTACACCAAACCAACCCCGAGGCTGCCGCAGGCCAAGACCGCYGGCGGGGGCGAGAACGGGTCGTCTGGCAGCAGGGCCCAGGAGCCCCCCCTGCCCTTCACGCGGGCCAACCGGCGGTTTGGGARGAACTCGCGCAACCGCGACGGCCGTGTCAGGGTGCCGGACCTGTGCCTGGGCGTCGTCGTCGCCGTCCACAAGAACGGATCGGTCGAGGAGGGATCCTCCTGTCGCGAGAGCAACGGTAACAGTGACACCGTTGCGACGACGTGCTGGGGTTGCGAYCGCGTGCTGCGGGTCCACGTCCTGTCGACGCTGGTGCAGTGCCCCGAGTGCTGGACCGTCGGTCCGGTGACCTAGCGGCAGCCTYGGCGGTGATTTGGGGGTTTTGTTAAGCCAAAACAAAAACTCGGGTGAAATAGTTTCGGTTGCTGGTGCACAYTCGGAGGCAGACGGCAKTGTCACTTGTCTTGATTCGACGACCATGAACCAWKCTGGGGAGAAYGTCCTTTCCTGTTCAAGCACGCCCGAGAGAAGCGCATAGCAGTCATGCGATCCGAACCATAGATTTCTACGAAGAAACGATACATCAACAGCTGCAATTGCATAAGCAACATCTGTATTTTTAAAAATTCCGTATGCGGCTAGTTATTTTCTGTTACTATGATCGTATGGCGCCAGCCGCGGTGTATAGACTGAATGTCGTGCCCTTCGTCCAGSAGTGCGTCCACGTAAGAAGGAGTAAAGTACGCGTATTCTCGCAGCGTCTCGTCGTTCCAAAGGTGGACCTGGTACACCGCGCCGCTGTTGTCGATCACCGAGGTTCGATCGTGGTGGGCTTCGAAGTGCCGKAGGGGAAGCTCYAGAACTCCCGGCGGGATGAGTTCTACGGGATCCAGGATCGGCACCGGTTCATCCGACGCAATGCCGATGCCGAAAATGCTTCCGTCCTCCATGAGCATTGCCGTGTGGTGCGACCCACAAGATATTCGTTCCACCTTCATGGGTGATTGGTTGTCGTGTGCGGAGTCGGGCAATCCGAGCACTTTCTKTGGCGTTCGTGCGTCCGATGGATCAACGGGCTGCTCGTCACCACCATCGGAATTGGCGTCGTCTTCTTCGCCGGCGTTGCGARCCATGTTTTTTCCCCAGACAAAAACCTCGTTGTCTTCGGTCAGCAGCGCACCGTGGTGAAACCCGGCCCCAATGGCTACTACTCGCGGATTGCCGTCGGCGTTATCGAACTGGATTGGCCGTGCCCACGGGTCTTGATCCGAGTCCACGGTTCGTCCCAGCTGACCACGCGARGCTTTGCCCCAGCTGTACACCTGCCCGTCTCGTGACAGAGCATAGCCGTGCTGGAAGCCCAAACAAACCTGCACCATCGGYTGATCCTGTTCGGAGGCCATTTTGTCGCTAATTTTGTCTCCTCCTCCTATGTTCAACGACGTCATCGACAACCCCCTTACCGCTTGGGGCGTCCAAACGTTGTTGCTGATAGCACCTGTCCCGCACTGGCCTCGGTTGTTCACCCCCATTGTATACAGGGAACCGCATTCCGAGATCATAGCGAGGAAACCAGGYCCACAGGCCAGTTGTTTGATTCTCGTCGTGTCGAATTCACCAGCCGTCTTTCCTATCTTCGTACCGCCGCTGTGGTTGACCTCCACCCTGGTCCAGTCGTCCAGGAGCGAGAATTGCTCCGCTACCTTCCACCTCTCGTTGTCTCCGGGCACCCCGCCCAGGCTTCCCGTGGCCCACCCGATCAGGCTCGAAACCATCGTTCCGACGGGAGTGGTCGCACTCGTGTCGTGGTTTCGATTGATCCACCGCTGGAGCAGCCCGGGCATGCGGTTCAGCCGCAGCAGCGACACGAGGTCGTGGGGCCGGCCTACGACCCGGAGGGCACCCCGCGTGTCCAGGAAGGCGCTGACGCCCCACCCGGCGGCGGCGCGCTGGACGTCGTCGTGTTCGTAGATCAGAACCGGCCGGGGGGAGGCGGGGGGAGACAGCCACTCGAGCGATGTCCCGTCGTCGCTGCCGGTCCGGTGGGGTCTTTCTTCCGGATCCCTTTCGCCGTCGAAGCCCGCTCCTTCCTCGTCGAATTGACCGGGAATCGACTTGAAGATGTGTTGGCGCGTCAGCGCACCCGTCCATCCTTCGCCGACACCATAGATCGCAAAGGATCGGCGGTGACAGTGACGGTGACGGCCATGCAGGTAGTCGGAGGCATCGATTCGTCTCCGAATAAGCCGGAAGCGAGACCCGATGCTGCTTCGCATTGTGCTTTTTGTTGATTAGGACGGAAMAGACAACTGTGTCAATACARTATTATTCTTGTAAACAAGCAATGGCAACTYGGGCATCATCCATSAACCGCAASTGCGACACCCCARTTTGAAAATTATTTTTCGTTCCTTTTTGCCTGCGGTGGTACAATTCGATCTGTCCCTAAATAAGTGTCTTTATTGCACCTTATTGAGCGAAAGAGCTAAAGTGCTTCGTACTGTACCGTACGGTTCGTACCAAGGTCGATGTGCATGATATGACATGATATGATGAGCTACTAAAAAACATTAAATTTCAATTTCTGCTTTAGCTTACAGTATTTTTTATTAAAGTAATTTTATTGCTTTTTCGTACTTTTTTTAGAAGAAAGTGATGCAATTTTGCAATTTCTGACGCGCGCATAGTGGTGTACTCGGATGAGTCGTTGAAAAACCTCGCAAAATTGGGTCCCTCACTTGTTTTTCACCTTCAGGCATGCACGCACGTGCAAACTGGTGCAGCGCATGCCTCAAAACGATTCAAAACGGCTTTCCCTCCAACAATTACTACAACAACTACCGACACTGGGAGCAAATCCTGTCTCATCTAAATTGCAAGTAGCAATCAAAGAAAAGGTCGGGTGAAACTGTTGTATAGGCGTTATTGCATGATAGCCTCCAATTTCGAATGAGTCAACCTCAATAGAAGTAATTGCTATTCTGTACCGTACACGCATCATTGAATACCGAACCATGTTTATCTTCGTGCTCTTTTCTTCCTCCTTTTCTTGATAGTCGTGTTTCCGCTTTCATCCACAATGAAATAGAATTGCTCGTTGTGCTTTCAAAAAGTCCTATTCTAGTGTGTTGTGATGTCACCCCGAGGGAAACCTATTGGACTCGCCCAGCTATGCTATAGGCTACATAACTGTGCACATATTGTCCACCATCWGACCTAGATAATAATCAAATACCCATCGATGGCTGAATCCAAAACATGCGCTCGACACCCTTYGATTTATTAATGATTGCTCAACAATCTCCTGCTCAAGCTTGTTTGCCGTTTCGATAGCTGCTTCTCTCGGTTTCTCGCTTGATTTCATGGAAAYASTGSAAATCCTTCTGACGTTATTCTCGTAATAAATTGATGTTGTTAATGCTTGGTTCGCTATATCCCCTTTGCTGGTCCGATGCTCCAGTAGAACGCGTCTCATGTGATTGTGGCACCGAGCAGACTTCAGTTTCACTTTAAACCTGAGATCGTYRGAATTCAAAACATTCATTCGAAACCTCCCCATKTCGACTGCGGTGAACCAGACATCTCTCGCAAATTTTCTCGGTATCCGCTKGAATATTGTTACGGTCTTTTGATCCGCAAAGGAAACTCTTCGAATCGGTTTTTCGGGCACACAGCTCGCCCTTCGTGGATTGGGAGTTTCGTAATTTTTTAATGTAAGCATCGTTCGTTCGTTTCGTTTCGTACTTTTGACACTCGTTTTTCCTTGGCCATTTTCGGTCGCCCTCTTGAGCAATGCAGTACTGCGTTTCGAGTATGATGGAGACATTGGACCATCGAATCGAGGTTTTGGTTTTCTGCCRCTACTTCTATCGCGTGTAATGGTTCCCATGCAAGTCCTMAGGCCTGGTTTGGTCGAATTATCTTTCAACATGCCGRGAGCGTTGACCTTTTGATGCAGAAAGTCCAGCGCAAGAAAAAGAAGCGTSAGAAATATTGACAAAAAACATCAATTAGAAACAAACGCAATACGACAAGAAATCGCATTGGTCACTCCATGGATATCCTTTGTTGGGAACCAAGAACGTACAAGCCGATTTTGGCCAGCACATCAACTGTATTCTTTCCACAAGAACTTTCCACAAGAAAGGAGATAATAAATTACTGAGAGCCTTAGCCTGAGTAACAATGATGTTTTCGTTTGTGTGTTTGATAACCAGTTCGAAAGATATGTGATTTCTTTGTGAAAGAAGAATAAGCGTACGGATCATGCAGCTGCAGGTGCTCTCGTAGTACGGTATTAGAATATTTTGTTCAACGTTCGATCATAGTTTTCGAATCAACCTACCGTAGTTCTTTCTTGAATCACAGATGAGAGAAACTCCTAAAAACTTCTCTTTTCATAGAAAAGACAAAAATTCCCGTCACGCTCCTCGAACATTTAGGAAAAATCGATGTCAACAAATTTGATTCTTGTAGATCATAACTTAGCACGTGTGAATGCAGGGCGCCAACATGTATTCTGTGAGTAAGAGCACCCCGGATGCGCGAGTCATGCTCATGCATGCTCGTTCTACGGTACATCATCGACTATGCTTGTACGAGAAAGTACTAGTAACAGTACTGCTGTAGGTCACGAGTAGCTAGTGAATCACGAAAACGACCAAATAGAGTCTATCACTCGTTAGCTACTCGTGATTCAGTCTGACAGCCCGTACTCGAACCCGAACCAACGTTCGTACCGTACCGTACCGTACTACGGTAGTAATGCGAAATGCTACTGTTCTCTCGTCGTCCGTTCGTCGCGCGATCTTCGTCGAGAGCATCGACTATCGTCCACTTCTTTCCTTGACACCTTTCARTCATCTCCAAGAGAGAAGATATTCTTATCACTTYTAAGGGGCTACGTACCTATCGTTGCTCGTGTGATTCCTGGTCAATACCGCAAGACAGTTCCATTGTCATTGTTACCTGTTACTGATGATTTCTCGCTCGCCTTCGGTATCACAAAACCGATTGTGCGATGCTTCACCAACCCGTCCGACAGAAGTTAGCAGAACCTGTTATTTTTTCTGTTTGCGATCGACCATCCACTCTACCATGACGTTGCAGAGAAGAGTATAGGTTCCTGTGTTGCGTGCAGCGACGCCGAGTCACCGGTGGGCACAGTGATGCAATGTACGTATTCGGCATTCCCCCTCTTGTTCGTTCTTGGATTGGTGGTTTTGATTCCAATTTACCTCAGTACACGCACGGGTCCTCTGGGCAGCCAAAGATACCAAACTCTCGATGCATCTAAAGGCAATCGGCTCCGTGCAATAGAAACAACTTTGTTGGGAACCCGCGCACATGGTGTGTCATTTTGACCGTTGATGCTCATATGTTATTGGTGTTTTTCATTTTCTTGCTCGATTTACAGGACTGCCAGAATTGGAACTTTCGCGGCGGACGTCGGAAGAACGACCGAAGTGAGTACAATTCTGTGCGGTACGGCCCCTAGAGAAAGTGTGGCAACGTGGTGGCGTGCGCGAAGTTGATGGCGGCAGTGTCAATGATGAGCACTCTTTTTGCTGTATGTACTGCTCGGAAAGAAACCCTTTTGGAACGAATCGGTCATGTCGCCCTCGGCAGTCCAATTGCGTGGAGTTTGGTACGACCCTTGGGTGCAACCCTCCTGCAAGTGGGCGCATTCAACCCCAACTGTGATACGATTATATATTTTTTATAATCCTTTTGGTCCCGATGCCATGCCCAGAGGCTTTTGTCGCGCTCCGCCGCACGAGGGAATCGGCCACCGCTCGCGAGATACGGTCCATTCGAGACGCTTTCTTGCGTGGTGCCGTGGATGTTGTGCACCGGTGCGCGCCGCCTCCCGGCAGGGCAYCGATCGGACCGACCCGAAGGTTCCTCGCCGACAAGCTCGTCCTAGGCGACGGTTCGGTTTCTTGCAAGACGAGGACGACTCTCGGAATGGTGCGATTGTGTGTGCGCGCGCCGCCGAGGCGCGGCGACCCCACCACCGCGAGCTGGTTGCCCCGCCGATGCTCGCCTTGTTGTGTGCTCGGCGTGGGCCGACCCCACCGGGTGCACGGTTTCCGGCAGCACCACCGGGGCACGGTGGAAGCATTCGGTTTCCCCGCGCCCCACCGCTCGCGCGGACGCGGTGCCCGCCGGGAACACCCCAAACGTCACCGAGAGCCCCGTGCTCGGCTCGGCCCGGTTCGGGCCGCCATTCCGCTCGAGAGAACCCAAGACGAGGAACACCTCTGAGACCCACGCCACCGAGCCAGAACCGCGCACGCCGTCCCCTTTCGTCTCGATCCTCGGTTGTCGTTCTAGGTAGACGATAAGCACTCGTTTCAATATTCCTTCTTTTTTAAAACCAACAAAAACCATCTTTCTATTTTCTCATCGGTGTTGTGTTTTCCCCTTTGCTTCCCATTTATCGAACTGAACTGGCCGTGCTCAATTTAAAGCTCCGGACCTCTTTTGATTGGACTTGGCTGTTCCTCACCTCGTAGTTCTTAGTATTGCAAGCGAAATTGATCGGTACGGGAATCAACAACTCTTGTCGAGGGCAGTCGCGCTCATCGTGCTTTGGTTCCCCTTTGCGGGAAGATACGGCTCCATTGGGAGCACCAGAAACAAACCCCACTATTCTTCTGTGATCCACCCGGTAGCTAAAGCCCCATGGCAGTTTTACTATTACGTTGGAATCGGTGGAAGTACCCAACTTTTCCGAAACTACGAGTGATGGGACGAATCGATCAAAGGCCTAGGCTATATCTAAAATTCCAAATCTTAAATCTTGCCTTGCTCGTGCTATGTTTTTGTTCAAGCTCTGCTGGAGCAGCACCGCCGTGCGCATAGCGGGTCTGGACCTTGTTCCTACATATGTTGCGAAACTATCGATCACGGAGAGGACCGCTCACAAGACAGCCGAGGCTACAACCCAGCTTTCTCGATCGTTGCTCTCTCGGGTCCTCTGTGCGTGGCTTGCTTCCACAGCGGCAGCGCTCTAGCTACGAGGCCGAATGGTCGGTCGAGACGGCGGGAGTTCGTTCCCGCCGCGCCGTGTGTGTGTGTGGGGGG